ATATTTGTCCTCAATAATTCTTAATCTTATATTATCTTTATTTCTTTTGTATTATTGATAAGTTCATTGAGATTCTATTACAGTTCAGTATTTCATCCTTAACTGAATTTAATGTAAGATAATCTTTAGTATCAATTTAAATGACAAGTTCATTTCCAAATTTTTAAAATGAATCTGACTTCTTATAGTTTATCTTTGTTTTTCCTTTTTCTTTGAAGTTTTTTGTTCTCACTAATATTTACTGTTACTTTGATTCTTAAGATTATATACTATTCATATTTAGTATAATGCTCATATTTAATTGTTCATTTCTATTTGCTGACATTTATGGAAGAACTTTTTGATATCTTGATCATTAAAGTTAGCCTTTCTCTGAGACTTCAGGCTGTTGAAAGGATCTTGCCAAAGTATATTTTCTTCTTTGAGATACTCCAGGTATATTAGTATGCAACTGTATTTTTTATAGCACTGCAGTCATTTAAAGCCTTCATTTTGTATCTATGGTATAATGTATTATTGCCGAGTTGAATTATTGCCCTGAAGTGTTGTGTAGCCTCACACTGATACCAGAAATGGAAAATTACACATTTAATTTCATCTGATAGGACACAGTCAAAAGGCACATGTATTAAAAAAATTGGTAAAAATCACCTATAGGCGGCATGAATAAAGTATATTTGAAATATAAGTAAATTTTGTGTTTAGACCTGGGCTAAATCCCAAGATATCTCATTATGTTTATGTAAATAATCCAAAATCCAGGAAAAATCTGAAATCTTTAAAACATCTGGTTCCAAGATTTTTGGATAAAGGATACTCAACTCTACCAAGATTCTCTTACAAGTTGGCAACCACTGTCTGTTAAGCACAAAAGGCAAAGCATTGCCTGTTGCTTTGTAATTAAACCTAATGAACATGTACACATTTACTTTTTATACTTCTGGCATGTAGCACCTAGAGAATGATATGTTGTCACTATGTCATAGTAAATAATAATAAACAATAAATTCACAACTGTATTTGCACAGTCTGAGTTTCCAGTATGTAAAATCATGTGCAGAATGTAAAATTTCTATGTGCCTAATGAATATTTCAATTTTCCAAATTCCTAATGAAAAATAGAAACTACATGTATTAAATGTATCCATGAATTTTACTAACAATTGCTTTGACACACTATAATATCTTTATATATATACACACACATAGAGAGAGAGCTAAATATATTCAAATATATTTAATCTTATTAAATTGGCATAAAAACCCTGTTAGATAAAATGTCATTGTTTTAAATATGATAGAAATATATACTGTGGTAGTTGTATAAATTTTCCTAGGACACATAATTTTTATCCTAGATAAGAGATATGGAGACATGTTTCCAGATGAGCCCCAGGAAAGCATGAGACATTATCTGAAAAGCTAAAGCAATAGGAACTAGTGACATGGTATAAGTGTAGAGCCAAGCATGTGGCCTTGAGTTTAATCCCAGTACAGCACTCACTCCCCCCAAAATTTTTTCTTTGCAAACCACAGCTGTGGCAATCTAGAATAAAAAGACCTTTAAAAAGATAAACACTATATACTGTGTCTCTTTATCTGTAATACTGCTCTTAATAACTATACCTCACAAGACCTGTACACTTGTAGGGATTACATACTTTGTATGAAAATCTAAAGACACAGTGCTTAATTCAGGATCTGTGCTGTCCTTTAAATCAAAACAGAAATGAAGGCTAGAAAAATACAGTTTGTTCATCCATTTCTGTCTTTCAGGCCATGAGAAGAAAAACAAAGATGTTACTTTTGCTAACATCTCTTTCTTTTTGAGCCTAACAAATGTGAGGCAGTGCAGGTCATTTGCAATGTCTGTTTAGAATACATAAATATGTATTCCAAATATGTGTATTACACATATGACTGATAAAATGTTCTTAATACATAGAATGATTCCAGGTCACTAATTTTATTTATTTTGTTCATATTTTACTTTTTCCTGATGGTTTCAGTTAAATATGAAATATTTTTATCCTGATATATTGGGTATCATTGCTGCATGTATAACTTAGAATCTATTACTTTTTTGTTTAGTGATAGGAATAGTACTTAAAAATACTAATTTTGAGTTATTTTGGCTGTTTCTATTGTAACAGAGTATTTTCTGTGCTTGGTGACATCTAACACAGGACTGGCTCTTTGGTGAACTGTTGAAGTATAGGGCAATACACAGAGTGAGCTGTTCGTTTCCCTACTCTTCATGGTCCCTTATCTTAAAGTGTGAGGTCATCTTCCTTGTTTAATTAAAATTAAAAAATACTTTGTAGCCTGCACTAATTCCTTCATATGACTATGACACAGATTTACAAAAATTACCCTATAAGGTAGGAAATGTGATGAACATTTCACAGAGGGGAACATGAAATTTGCTGAAAATCACGAAGAAGAGCAACTGGACTTCTTTTCCAGCACTGTCTGATGTCAAAAGCTAAATGGTTAAATAATTGTCATGCTACCTTCTAACTGTGCTTCTGTCTAGAACCTGGTATACAGATAAATCATTGATCATATGAATACCTTTTCTTAGTGCTGTCTCCCTGTGACACCTCATTGACCTCAACTTGATAGCCATTAGGTGGTACTGACATCAGAAAGGCAAAGATTATGGTTAGTCCCCACAAAAGCTGACCTGCTTTTGAGAAAAATATGTGTGTGTGTAATTTTATCTACATAACAAATCTGTTGTACCCTGGTGGTGTTGTCATAACAGTATCTTTAGGCAGGATTAACAAGTAACTAACAAATTTACTTTGGTTGCCAATAAATAACTGTAATCTGTTAATAATTGTGCATGTGTTTCATGTGGTCCTAAATAACATGAGATAATCTTCTAATGTAGTATCTTAGATTGGATCACTATTCCTTAATGCTTGATTTTCTATTATATCTCCTTTGAGAAAAGTATATCACTTAAAAATCATAAATACTTAGCAAAAGTAATTTATTAGTGCATTTTTGTAAGTGATGCCTACTAATTAGCATGAGTTTTTATTTATTGTTAACTAAATAAAAGTTTTTTGCTCAATACTATGAAAGGATAACCCTGACATATGCTTTCTTACTTAATGATTGCTCACAAATGCCTTGAGATATTTTATGTTTACCTCTTTATTTGAGCTGTTTGTACATGTTTTTAGTGTTTTTATATTGTTAGCACTGTGAAGATAAAATATGTCCTAATTCATCTCTCAGTATATCAGAGTGCCAAAAACTGGTCCTTGCACATAGTAGATGCTCACTAAATGTTGTTGATTTAGTAAATAATTAGTCTGGACTAGATTGAACAGATTTTTAATCTTATATTGTTATTGCCATCATTTCACTCTGCATAATTAAAGAACTTTACTTTTAAAGATGATTAAAATGTGTTATTAAAGTACTGGTATAAATTTTAGAGCAGTAAAAAGGACCTTGGCTATAACTTTATGAGGAAGAGGTGAAAGTGTTTCTTAATGTAGATATACTTACTGGGTAATAGTGATTATATTAATTTACTTCTCTGAGGAAGGTAAGATTTATGATTTTCACGTTGCACTTTGTAGTTTTTTTTTCTTCTGCCTCTATTTGCCACCTAGTAATTTTACTATGATGAAAATGGTGAAATTACAACATTTGAACACTTTATAATTTATCATTCAGATATAATTATTATTTCATGTTTCTTTTGTTTTTTCTCATCTACATAATTTTATACTGTCCATGAAAATGATACATGCTTATAGACCATTATAGTGTTTTACTGTGATAAAATTACATTTCCTATAAAATGAAATTATTCTTTTAAAGTACTTTTTATTATTGCAAAAATCTTCCCTTACATGTAAGTGATTTGCTTTACTTTTCTGTTATTAGACATTTAGGATATGTATAGTTTTTGTTATCATAAACTTGTCTTTTTATATAAATTCTTTTGGTATTCTATTATGTAAGCTGGAGTCCTACAACTACAATTACTGAGTTAAACTTTTGAACTTTGAGTTCTTGACACACCACATACCTTTAGAAATTCTCAATCCCACTGAGCCATCATCAAGACTGCTTATTACCTATACATATTTTTAAATAAATAGTAAACAAGTAAAGCTAACTGTGCTCACAGATATATATATATATATATATATATATATATATATATAAATTAAAAAGTTTGTTTTGCTTTCAGAAAGAATTGTGAAATTTTTTTTAGAATTTAGTTTGGAAGTTGCATGTTACAGTGCAACTTCCATCTAAATCCAAAAATTTTCAAGTCTAATTGTAAGTGGCATGTGTTTGTTTAAGCTGTACTTACACAAGTCTTCAGAATCAAAACCCACTTCACTCAGTTTTGTGAAAGTGTATTGGTTGAGGCATTATGCATTATGCCTGATGTGGTGTTAATATTCCCTCTCATACTGATCAGTCTCATTTTGTTTACTGTTGCAGCAAAGTTAATGAGCATTCAAAGTTTACTTTTATTTATTTATGCATGTTTTGTGGGTAGCTCTGCAAAAGCACCTTCCTTCCTCATCAATCTTCTAGCCAAACCAAGTGCAGATGAATCAGAGTACTTTCATTTTAGACACGGCAGTCATATTTGTATTAGGAAAGCAATAGTCTTGGAAGAATACCAAAAAAAAAAATCATTTTTAAGTGTTTGCCTCATCCTGTAGTGAAAGCATTTGTGTTTCCCAGGCTATGGTGAGTCTCAGTCCCTTGCTGGTGTTTTTTTAATAACACAGCTTAGGGGTGTGTGTGTGTCTGTGTGTGTTTGTGTATTAACTCATGAATTTAGGGTGATTGGGTGATCTGAAATATCCAATGGAGACCATAGAAACAAAATAATTCACCTCCTTTAAATACTGCAGTCTTTCCTACTTCTCTACCGAAATTGTCTCAGCTTAAATACTCCTATCAATTTAATAAACTAACTTTTACTTAGGTGACATAATTGTTTTTCATTTCAGAACACCTGATAACTTGCGAGTCTGTTGGTGCCTCATAGCCACACAGGTATGTATGTAAATTAAGTATAGTTATGTAAATATATGTATTAACTGACAAGTTGTTAGATTTTTGTACATTAAAGCCACTGAGTTCATAATATGAAAATGTACATTTTTGAGCACTGTAATTATAATTATTGACAGCTTTGAAGAACTATATTTTATAAATACATTGAATTTCATTGTAAAAATCAAATAAACAGTTTTAAGATTATTTGACGAGTTAGAACTATTGCAATACTACTGTTTCTTTTAAATCATCGTGTTGTTTTCAAACTTTTTTGCTCTTTTGGGGTTTATTTTTTGTGGGGTTGCTTTAGGTAAGAAGTGGTTGCAGATGTACTGTCTGCTACATGTCTCAAGCACTAGACAAATGGGAAAAAATGTTTGCACCTGTTTAAAATCTCAACGGTGGGGTGTTGTGGTGCCTGGGCAACAGGCAGGAATTCTCAAAAGCTTGGTTGCACCTGCTCAATTGTTGCTTGCAGCTGTGTCATATGAGTGAGAGCACAGAGAAGCTTGTTAGCAGTTTGCTTGTTCCTGTTATGTGTTTGTATTTTGTGGACTCCTGAGTTTGAAAGATACTTGATGTAGACCTTGAACTATTAACATAGGTTTATAATAAAACTCATTGGTTTTAGCTACCAAATATTTTCTCTAAATCCTTTGTTTCATGTCTCAAACTGCTTTAATAGCTGCTGACTGCCCTGGATAATGTGTATATTGACTTTTTCAAAGGATACCTGCGAGAGTAGATCTCTCCAGATAACTGTCTTGACAGTCATTTCTGTCCTGGTAGAGACATTTTGTGTTTGGCTCAATTTTACCATGTTGGCAGCCCCACTATGTGAGGCTGGATATAGTTATTGATCCATTTAGCTGAACAGATTTGAAAGCATTTGGCTATTAGTGGACACATGGGGCATATTCAGAAAATTTAAGGGCACATTTTAAGATGATTTCTTGATTTGTGTATGCATCTCTGTCATAGTTGTGGTAGAAGTACTAGTGAAAAAAGGTGAACATTAAATAGTTATCCTTGAAGATATGTTAAAATCCAGATGCAGATTTTAAGACTGCAACATTGTCTTTAATAAAATGCTAGATACTTGGTATTGTTTTTTAAAGTGTTTATCTTTTGGTTAAGGGTTTCTATATGCTCTGACAGTTATTATAGACTGTACCCTACTTAAAAATCTGCAAATATTACACAGTAAGCTACACTTATTTTCTTTTTCTTATATCTTCATTGTAAAGGTGATGAACTTTGGGGGGAGGGGTTATAGTTACATAAGTAAGGTAATGAGAACATTTCTTTCCTCTTCCCTTTTCCTTCTTCCTTCCTTCCTTCCTTGCTTCTTTCCTTCCTTCCTTCCTTGCTTCCTTTCTCTTTCTCTCTCTCTCTTTCTCTCTTTCTCTCTTTCTTTCTTTCTCTCTTTCTCTCTTCCTCCCTTTCTCTCTTCCTTTCTCTCTTTCTTTCTTTTTGTTGGTCGTGGGGCTTGGAACGCTGGGCTTGGGCACTGCCTGCGCACTTCAGCTCAAGGCGAGTGCTCTACCACTTGAGCCACAGAGCCACTTCTGATTTTTCTAGTTTATTGGAGATAAGAGTCTGACAGACTTTCCTGCCCGGGCTGACTTTGAACCGCAATAGTCAGATCTCAGCCTCCTGAGTAGCTAGGATTACAGGTGTGAGCCACCGGCTCTTGGTGAGAACGTTTCTTTTTAAACATTGTTACCTCCACTCTCATTTTCTCCTGCTTATTCCTCCTTATTCCCCTCCCCACAAGTTGTACAATTCATTTCCAACACAGTGTCTCATGAGCATCATTGCTGCATTTGATATGAAGTATTTAATTGATCAATTTAGTAGTCTCCAAAATTCCTGATATTCAAAACTTGCTCAAATGACTTGTATTATTCTCTCTTGTGTAATTAAAAACTGCTAAGTTGTTTCCATGAGTATTTGGTAACACAAGTACTAAGTGTTGGAGCTGCCTTTATGAAATTTATCCTTTTGAAAGAACTCATCATGATATGAATTGAACTAATCTCTTTGGGAATGGGAAATATAGACAGTAAAGTAAATAATTTGGCAGTAGTTCCTTAACACAATGCCTTATGCCTAAATGTTGAATGGAAATAGGAATAAATAATTTTAGTGTTATATTAGAAATAGAAGGACAGTGACCTAGAAACGTATTGCTTATACATTTTGGATGAAGCTTGATGGTTCTTGGTTCTTATATTGTTGGCTTGGTAGAAATGACAAGTCTGTTAAATCTTGTTCTTAAAATGAGAAATTAAGGGGCTGGGAAGGTGGCTCAGTGGTGAGTGCTTGCCTTGCATGCATGAGGCCCTGGGTTCAATTCCTCAGCACCACATAAACAGAAAAAGCAAGAAAGTGGCATTGTGGCTCAAGTGGTATAGTGCTAGCCTTGAGCTGAAGAGCTCAGGGGCAGTGCCAAGGCCCAGAGTTCAAGCCCCATGACATATATATACCTATATATGTAAAAAATATATAATATATACTATTTCCATTATTCACAAGCTGAAGCATTAACAATTAAGTTGTATGTAACCTTGGAAACTCTTTGCAGCATCAAGATAAACAAATGTTCTCTGCTATATGATTAATGCCATAGCCTCCCTAGCACTCACTGTGCTGTTTTCCCCTCTCTACCTCACTAAAACCATAAAAATAAAATGTCTGTTGACTTTCTTTGGATCAGGTATTATCAGAACATTAACAATTTGTAACTGTTTTACTAAGCAGAAGGAATGGGTCCTGTGTTTGATACACATACACAACACACACACACACACACACACACACACACACACAGCTTCTATAACTAAGTCCCAACTGTAAATACATAAAAAAGGTAAAGTGCAACTAGTACCTTTAAGACTTGCTTTACGTAGGCCCTTCTAAAGTTACATTTTGTGTGGAAGGAAATACTCAAAGAGGTACACTACCAGTTGAAAAAGAAGTCAATCTCTACTACATCAGAAGATTTTGTTTAAGCTTCTCAGATTTGGGTACAACTGGTTGACTATATTCGTGGGTACTTTTACATTTGGAAGAAACTTCGAAATGTTAGGGGTCAAGTTACCATAACTATTCTAGTGGGTAAGATGCCAGTAGCATAGATATAAAATTTTTTGTTCTGTGAGTGTTAGTGTGATAGATTAAACTATATCCTTCGGTTAATTTCATGATTAGAAATTAAGAGATGAGCCAAGAATATGTATTAGCTAGAATATTAAGTATTAAGGCAGACTGATATTAGCAGCTGTTTCAGTGGTCTGAACCAGGAATTACTGTTTCAATCTCAAAGAGAAATTATCACATCCTTGGCATAATTTCAAGGTTCCTATGATTTCAGGGTTAAAGAAGTAAAGGAAGAAAATCAATAATTGATGGGAACATAAAATACATAAGTATAATTTCTCTATTTTTTCTCTCCTATCCCTTTCTCCCTTCCTTATTTACTTTTTTCTGTTCTACAAGGTAAATGAATGTTAGTATCTCTATATAGAATGATAGGCTAAATGAGTAAAATGAAGTCCTTGTCTTCAAGTATTATACAAGTTAGAGAAATACAACCAGATATTAACATTATTCTTTTGGCTTGGCTGCTTATTATTAGTATGGACTTACTCAAGTCTCTTTTCCTTTGTTTTTCATTTACAAACTGGACAAAATATAGTATCTAGCCCATATTTCATTGTGTTGAGATCTAGGTAACATAGATTCTTGGTTGTCAGGGAGCTAATACTCAGTTAATTTTAGGTTCTTTTTATCATCACCTCAGCTACCAAAGTTACAACTACATTTCAGTGCAGGTACACTGAAGAGAGATGATCTAATTGCCTGGGAGCAGGGTTCTAGTCCTGTGCTTTATCATATAGATTGTCTCAAATATTCAACCTAAGTTACTGATGTTTTCAAAGCTTTAAAGGAAACTTAAATAAAATGTGAGAGGGGTTTGCACTCAGGGGCTTGTACTTGCTAGGCAAGTACCCTACTACCTGAGCCACACTTGTAGTCATATATATATATATATATATATATATATATATATTTATATATGTATATAATTAAGTGTATATTTATAAACACATACCTATATATACCGATACACTTACACATATCGGGGCCATACCTACAGTCCTACACACACACACACACACACACACACACACACACGTATTATCTTTAAGTGCTTACAAAGAAGGAAGTCAATTCAATATGCCAGATTATGAGTACTATGAATCTTGATCAGTGTTACCCTTTTCATAATTCCCCTCCATTTCTTTCAACCTCACCCATCCCTTTTAAAAGATAAATTTTAATTCACAAATCCATATGCTGAATCAAGATAACCCTCATGTGTACTTTTTACCATTTCCCAACTTTTTTTGATAAAACACATACTTATCCTTTTTTAGACACATAGTTCAATATGCTTATAATGCTTATACTGCCATCATAACTATTCAATTGCATCATTCTTTCTTCTTATAAAACTGAAACATTATACACATGACAAAATAATTCCCCAGACCTCCCTCCAGCTCCTGACACCTATTATTCTGCTTTCTGTCTTGATGATTTTGTCTTCTCTTAGTTACATTAAAGAGTTTGACTTATTTAAGTTTGCTAATGTCCTCAGCATTCACCCACCCATGTTATGGTACATATCAGTTTCCTTATATTAAGGCTAAAAGATGACAGTATATGTATATACTGCATGATACCATGTTGTTTATCCATTTATTCATCAATGGACACGTGGAGTACTTCATATTTTGATAGTGCCAAACTCTGCTATGAATCAAAATGTACAAATATCTCTTTGAGAACCTGTTCTCAGTTTTTAAGTTATATATTCAGAAGAGGAACTGCTTGGTTATATGCTAATTGTTTTTATCAGGTGTTCTTACAATGTGATCTCTCCTATCTAAATTGATTACCTTTAGACCGGCCTTCATTACATCATAAAG